CCCGTAGCATAAATGTAAATATAATTAAATTTTGCAAACGCCAATGTAAGAACGAAGTTTGACAAATTGGTCTCCTGCGAGACTTTTAGTAAGCATATCGGCGGTTTGCTCTTTGGTATTTACGTATTGCACGTTGATTTCTTTGTTTTGATACATATTTCTAACAAAATTATATTTAACATCAACATGTTTTAATCTACGATGTTCCCATCGACTTAAAAGATGAATTACGGATTGATTGTCCTCATACACTGTAATGGAATGAGTACTATTCACACTAAAGTCCTCTAAAAGTCCTTTTAGCCATATTGCTTCTGCCAAGGCTGTTGCCAATGCAACATACTCAGCTTCAGTAGACGATAGGGTGATTCCAGTTTGCTTCTTTGTTGACCAAGATACTGTAGAGCCAAAAACCTGAAGTAGAAAGCCAGTAGTAGACTTGCGATCATTGTCTGTAGCCCAGTTGGCATCCACGTAGACTTGAAGTGGTGTTTCTGGATCCAAGCTCCGCTTGAACAGCAATCCATAGTCGAGAGTGCCCTTGACATATCGAAGAACTCGTTTAAGACCTTTCCAATGAGTTAGTTTTGCATTACTCTGGAAACGACTGTAATAGTTTACAGCAACACTTATGTCAGGACGAGTATTGAGCATGAGAAACATAAGGCATCCAACGAGCTCCCTGTATGGTTTCATCTCGCTTACAGCTTTTCCGTCGTCGTCATTTTGTTTTTCAGGATCTGCTTCCATGGGTGTTTTAGAAGGATTGCACTCCGTCATTCCGAAACGAACAAGCAGTTTTTCCATATATGCTTTCTGGCTCAAGAAGAGACCTCTTGATGTTTGCTCAATTTTTATTCCTAGGAAATTTCCGATTTCGCCAATGTCCGACATAGCAAATTCACTTTTAAGGGCGTCAACAATCTCTTGAATCTGGATTTCATCCTGGCCTGCAAGAATAATATCGTCGACGTAAAGCAGAAGATACAACCGACGCTTCTTCGATGTTGCCATATAGAGACAGTGATCTCGTTCTGATCTTTTGAATCCTAGGGTCAGAATGAACTCGTTGAATCGACTATTCCATGCTCGTGGAGCTTGTTTCAGTCCGTACAGGGAACGATTCAGCTTGCATACCAGACCACTATCTTGAGTATATCC